CCTGGGACACACCTGAGGGAGCAGGACCCTGTGGGGGAAGGGGGTCTACCGGGGGGGGGACTGGTACCAGGAAGAGAGGCGCGAGGGGGACCGGGTGGGACGCGTGTGGGTGAAGTCGGTAGTAACAGACCGACTCGTCGAAGGTGACGTCCTGAGAGGACAGAACACGACGCGAGGCAGGGTGGTAGAACTGCCAGGGTGGAGCGTCGGTGGGGAAGCCCAGGAAGACACAGCGGAGAGTGCGAGGAGAGAGCTTGCTCGCTTTGGTATCGCGAACAAGGGAGAGCGCGCCCCAGACCCGAAACGACGACGCATCACCAGGCTGTCCCGTCCAACGGAGTGTGGGCAAGGTCTCTGGAGCAGATACACGGGGCCAGAGGTTGAGCTGATTCGCAGCGTATCGGACCGCAAACGGCCACAGGAAATGGGGAGCAGCCGCATGGATCATGGAGGTACGAGAAACCTCCATGATCAGGCCAATGCGACGCTCAGCGATCCCATTTTGCTGCGGAGAGGCCGGAAGCGTGAACGACTGGCGGATGCCCTCATCCTGGCAGAACGTCTCAAGGACGCCAGAGGAGAACTCACCACCCCTGTCAGAGTGCAGACGCAGGACTGGGAAGTCCTGCTGAAAGCGCTCGTGCAGCTGGAGACGAGCAGCACGGATCCAGGGGATCAAAACACCGCTGACGTCCGCCTTGCGACGCAAGGGGAAGACTGTGGTGTAGCGTGTGTAGTCGTCAACAACCAGTAGGAAGTAGCGCTCCAGGTCTGTCCCACCGACTGGGGCCGGGCCCCACACGTCCAGGTGGAGAGTCTGCAGAGGAGCAGTGGTCGGAGGAAACTCGGAGGAGTGAGGAGCGGCGCGCTGCCGCCCCTCGACGCAAGGAAGGCACGGCGGCGCAAGTGAGCGCGGGAGGGGGGACAGGGTCCTGGGGAGACCAGAGACAAGGAGACGGGAGTGCATACTGCGTAGACGCTGCAGGGAGGGGTGACCAAGACGGTGGTGCCAGCGCTGAGTCTCGTGCGTGAGTACTCTGCACGAGCAAGACGCAGCGAACTGCCCCAACGCAGACGCCCGACTCGACGCAGCCACCTGACCTGACTCAGCCACCTGTGCAGACGCAGTGGTCAGTGTGTACAGACTAGACCCAGGCTGTCGAGTGAACGTAGCCAGGTGACGGCCAGTCCGGGAGCACGTACAGATCGCCACACGCTGCCCTCCAGGAATAAAGGTATCAACCCAGACATCCTGAATGGCAGCGTTGCTCACCAAGTTCGTCGAGAACGTGGGGAGGTGGAGACCTGACAGAGAGCCGGAGGGGACTGCTGGACAAGGGAGGACCGTGGAGGCTCTCGCAACTACTGGGCCCCCAGAGGGGTCAGCCAGTGAGGCTGGGACAGGTGCTGTGAGTGGTGTGACTGTGGTGCAATCACGAAAGAAGCAACGTGACGCGCCTGAGTCAAGCGTGAAAGTATGCAAGACCTCAGCTGAGGCAGGACCTGTGGCAGTAGACGCACTAGCACCTAGAGCGTCGGCAGACTCACGGGCACCTAGAGCTGCAGCAGACTCACTAGCACCTGGAGCGGTAACAGACTCACTAGCACCTGGAGTAGCAGTCTTAACAAAACGATAACCTCCACTACCAGGACGACCTCGCCGAATAACCCACTCACGAAGCTGCTGAGGGGTGGGGTTGTTCGGGAGAAGCAGTGCCCGCTGCTGTCCACCCCTGACCGCAGCAACTGCCGCGGAAGTGGCCATGACAGACAGTGACGGTCAGGAGTAGGTCCAGCACCTCCAGCTCCTACAGCACTAGCAGCACCTCCTGCACTCCCAGTAGCACCTCCACCAGCAGCAGCAGTAGCACGAGGAGTAGCAGCAGTAGTAGTAGTTGCAGCAGCAGTAGTGGTATTATTATTATTATTATTATTATTATTATTATTATTATTATTACTATTACTATTATTATATATATATATTTATTTATTTTTTTAAGCAGGAATTAGGGTTGCGCGCGGCCCACGGGCTGCAGGGGCAGCGCCCACGGGCTACAGGTGCGACACGCAGCTCAGCAGGGCGGCGCGCGGGCTGTAGGGGCGGCGCGCGGCTCGGCAGGGCGGCGCCTAGGCTGCAGGGGCGACGTTCGGCTCGGCAGGGCGGCGCGCGGGCTGCAGGGGCAGCGCCCACGGGCTGCAGGGGCGACGTGCGGCTCCGCAGGGCGGCGTACGGGCTGCATTGGCGACGCGCGGCTCTGCAGGGCAGCGTACGGGCTGCAGGGGCAGCGCCCACGGGCTGCAGGGGCAACGCGCGGCTCGGCAGGGCGGCGCGCGGGCTGCAGGGGCAGCGCCCACGGGCTGCAGGGGCGACGCGCGGCTCTGCAGGGCAGCGTACAGGCTGCAGGGGCGACGCGCGGCTCTGCAGGGCGGCGTACGGGCTGCAGGGGCAGCGTCCACGGGCTGCAGGGGCAACGCGCGGCTCGGCAGGGCGGCGCGCGGGCTGCAGGGGCAGCTCCCACGGGCTACAGGGGCAACGCGCGGCTCGGCAAGGCGGCGCGCGGGCTGCAGGGGCAGCGCCCACGGGCTGCAGGGGCGACGCGCGGCTCTGCAGGGCAGCGTACAGGCTGCAGGGGCGACGCGCGGCTCTGCAGGGCGGCGTACGGGCTGCAGGGGCAGCGTCCACGGGCTGCAGGGGCAACGCGCGGCTCGGCAGGGCGGCGCGCGGGCTGCAGGGGCAGCTCCCACGGGCTGCAGGGGCGACGCGCGGCTCGGCAGGGCGGCGCGTGGGCTGCAGAGGCAGCGCCCACGGGCTGCAGGGGCGAACGCGCGGGCTGCAGAGGAAGCACGGTCGCAGGGGCAGGCACGGCTGCAGGGGCAGCACGGTCGCAGGGGCGAGTACGGCTGCAGGGGCAGCGCGGTCGCAGGGGCAGTACGCGGGCTGCAAGGGCAGCGCGGCTGCAGGGGCAGCGTAGGAAGAAAATTTTACGGTTAGGGCAGGGCGGAACGTTCGGTGGCCCTAGGAACGATTCTGCTCTAATACCATGTTAGAATAAGCAGGAATGAATGGTGGACTAGGTAGCATGCATGAGTACAAGTACCTAACCCTAAAGTGTTGTACCCCTTGTAGGCTAACCCACTATAGCCTAGAGATAACACAAACATACAGTTTGACAATACTTATATCGGTGTACAGTGTAAACAGTTTGTACAATCCTCCTTCAAAGAATGTGGAAACCACAAACAATCATTTCGAAGCATCCCCAATGTATTCCCCGAGTAACTTCGAACTTACCCTGCGAATTCCTATGCAATGCGCATAGTAAACCATAAAGTGTGTTCCCAGGAGGTAATTGTTGAGTACTATGTCGGTTAAATTGACGTGGCTGCCAATCGGATTGTAGGAATATGATGTCGGCGGGTTTCGGGCACACGGATCGCAAAACGCCCCTCTGTGAGGCATGCGTCTGTTGCCTCGCGTCGCGGCTTTCCGAAGCCGTCGTCTAGCAGGGCACGCTAGGGGCTTGCAATGGAATGCAACTGCAAGTTGGAGTATGGTGGGAGTGACTCTTGAAATTGACATGCTTGTGTGTCAATGGTGGTGGAGCAGAGGGAGGAAAAAACACGCTCTAGAGAAATCATCTCGGGATTGACGTGACGATGGAAATGACAGGAGCAGCAGCTGTCCCAGCAGGGTGATGGAGGGCGATCCGGTTGGGTTAGGAGCGTTTGGGAAGGGTCATGGGGAATCGGGAATGGGGACGTTGAGGGCTGGGGATTATAGGGATGGGATTGTCGAGGAGTACACCACTATGACGTTTTTGAATGTGGTAGGTAACTAGATTCTGATAGAGTTGCTCTTCTCCATGGATGGTGCCTTGTAAATATTTATGTACAAACCCTGCATGACATATTTACTACGGTACCGTAAGATGAAAGCCAGCAAGAATCGGGAAGCTTGGATATTTATATGCACAGGTTGAGGACAAGGTTTTGAGTCGTGTCTGCAGCTACACCTGCCGGGAGTGCTGCAGCTTGAAGGACCTCTTTGTCCTCGACTAAAAAACGTATTCAGAGTGGTAACACAATGCAATACGCATCATGTTCTCAGCTGTTCGTGTTGCATTGCTATCTCCAGAGCTGAAACGAACGCAATGCACACTTATTGCAGCAACGATGATTGAAGTGTTGAAGCACCTGGCATCGAAAACGCACCCGTGGTCTGATGCATGTGTAGCGACAAAATTGTCAAGCTTGAAGAACTCTCAAGGGTTCTGTTCTGAGACGTCTCAAAATTATCGATGAACCCGCTGATCTGGTTCATGTGCAGTAGCAGGGTAACCAGGAGAAAAAAACACACATAATGTTCCGCCTGGTATCAGGACAGAGGTTGTTCTCACATGCCGTTGCTGCTGCTGCTCCAAAAGCACCCTCTTCTGCTCCAACAGAGGTGCAGCAGTTGCACCATTATCGGGAAATCTGCGACGGATATAGTGGCGGCAGCTGCATACACACTGGACTGGAACCCTTAAGCTCTGAAGTGTTTCTCTATACCGAGGATGAGCTAGGCTCCCCAAACGTGTGGTCTGCTGGGTCGCGTAAAAAACTACATAAGTGGTGTATATTGCACTGTAGTTTGTCAGGAATTCTACGACAACATACAGCACTGCCTCTTTTCAGAAAGTGTACCCATGAACAGTGGCGAATGGGAGCGGATGGATGGAGGCTGGTGACTGCGAACGCCGCTGTGGGAAAATGAAGAGATCCGAAGCACAAATTTTGACACGTCTCCAAGGCACAAGAACGGGGAAGCCGATGCAGGAGGAGCTTCCGGAGAGGAGAAGGCGAGTGGGTGGATCCAAAAGGCCATCCGGAAATGGCCGGTCCGTTGCTGATGCTGATGCTGATGCTGGTGCGGAAGCTAATGCTGATGCTGATGCCGATGCTGATGCCGATGCTGATGCCGATGCTGATGCAGATGCCGGTGCTGTGTGAGTGAGTGGTCAGTTGAGGTAGCCTCGGCACCTGGAGGAAAGAAAGAGAGGGCAGCATGGGGTTGTGGGGAGATCTTTAGAGTGGACTAAGCAAGAAGTGGCCTCAACATCTGGAGAAAAGGAAAGAAAAGTAGAAAGGGGGGAGAAGGATTGCACGAGGAAAGGACCCTTGGAAGCAGTCAGATAGACCAACTACTCAAAGGTTCACGGTTCACCCCAAAAGACGAGCCACCATTAGCAGCATGCAGTTCCACGAAAGAAATCGGCTCTTCGCCTAGTTGGAAGACCTTCAATCACGAGTGTTGAAAACCTTTGCCTTGGTGGAGCTAGGTGTTGCAAGAAGGGACGCTTGATTTTAGACGTCTTAAAATCCCCCACTTCAATCACGAGTGGTGCGCAGGCAAGGACCAGACCAGGCGAGGGAGAAATGTCGAGGGGCAAACCACAGGAGACTCACTTTCTGGAGAGGCAGAGGCAGGGTATTTTCGCATCGTCTTCAATTGCGAACTTGTAGTCGTAACTGAGCTCCTCCCCCACTTGGATCACGAGTGGTGCACGGGCAAGGACCAGACCAGGCGCGTGGGAGCAACGTTGAGGGTCAAACCACAGGGGACTCACTTTCTGGAGAGGCAGAGGCAGGGGATCTTGGCATCATCTTCGATAGGGAACTTGTAGTCGTAACTGAGCTCCTCCCCCACTTGGATCACAAGCCACAAGCAGAGCGGAGCACCTTCTAGAGCTACCAGCATGAAGCAGAGGCAGCACTAGGCGTGCAGGAGGGGAGACTCACTTTCTAGACAGGCAGAGGCAGGGGATCTTGGCATCATCCTCGATAGGAAACTTGTAATCATAACTGAGCTCCTCCCCCACTTGGATGACCCGCTTGGAGTAGATCACCACGTGCTTCTGCCCGTCCGCCACTATCACCTTGGTGTAACAGTTGGGCTGGAAGGGGAGGGGTGGAGAAGGAGGGGGGACGAGGAAGGGTGAAAGGGGTGAGAGGCATGATACGGAGGGTTGAATGATCCGCTTGGAGTAGATCACCACGTGCTTCTGCCCGTCCGCCACTATCACCTTGGTGTAACAGTTGGGCTGGAAGGGGAGGGGTGGAGAAGGAGGGGGGACGAGGAAGGGTGAAAGGGGTGAGAGGCATGATACGGAGGGTTGAATGACCCGCTTGGAGTAGATCACCACGTGCTTCTGCCCGTCCGCCACTATCACCTTGGTGTAACAGTTGGGCTGGAAGGGGAGGGGTGGAGAAGGAGGGGGGACGAGGAAGGGTGAAAGGGGTGAGAGGCATGATACGGAGGGTTGAATGATCCGCTTGGAGTAGATCACCAAGTGCTTCTGCCCGTCCGCTACTATCACCTTGGTGTAACAGTTGGGCTGGAGAGGAAGGAGAGGAGGATAGGGCAAAGAGAAGTCTTTGTGAGAAATTGGAGACGAATTTGACGAGCTTGCCTTCACGGCTCCTCTGAATAAAGTTTTGTTTCAGGGGCCTACGGAAATACACTCACATCACACGAGTGGTTGATGAAACGAGCGAGGCCGCCGCTGCGAGTGGCGTCCACCTGAGTGGTTGCAGAGGAGGGGAGAAGGAGGGGGGATGGGGGAGGAAAAACGGTGGAAGGATTTTTGCTTGAAGCGTTTTTACACGTATAAGAACACTCATGGAAAACGACAAAGACATTCCATCCTTGATGCAAGGAAAAAGACAACAGATACTCTCTCCATCTATGACACTCAACCTCACCACCCTAATCTTATCCACTCGAAACGGGTAACTGTTGCCAATGAATCGCTGAATGTCAAATGCCACATGCAAGCACCCTCCCCTACATCCCACCCGCCACAAATCCTCCCTGCCACACACAACCACCCACCACCACTCACCACCACATCCTCGTCCACTCGAAACAGATAGCTGCTACCAATGCCATCTGCTTCGTACATCCTCTCCCGCAGCTCTGACACCTGATGCGCGAGTGGGTCGGGCAAGTGAGTGAGTGAGGGGTAGGGGAAGAAAGTGTGAGTTCACAGTACGGTCGTACGTTCGCTGATGCTGCCAATGCAATCTGCCGGCCAAGATACCATGTAAGTTGGTGGTGGTACATTCTCTCCCGCAGACCAGACACCTGCTGGGCACACATTTCGTCATCCGATCAGTAAAATATATCCCAGCAGCATTCCAGCACTCGCCTACCATTCCAGTGCATCACCGATCGGCGGATAATGGTGCCGTATACTCGATGATAAAGTCCCCTGCCTCAATTCGCTCCAGACACAGCAGCCCCCATCCGTGTATCCTTTACTTCCAACCTTCCAAACTTTTCAGCACTCACCGATCGCCGGATAATCGTGCCGGTATACTCGATGATAAAATCCCCTGCTTCGATCCGTTCCAGAGACAGCAGCCCCCACCCGTGAATCCGACTCCTCCTTACTAACTTCAACCTCTTCAAAACGACTCAGCGGCACTCGCTGAACACTCCAGTGCACTCACCGATCGCCGGATAATCGTCCCGGTATACTCGATGATGAAATCCCCTGCTTCGATCCGCTCCAGGGACAGCAGCCCCCATCCATGTATCCGACTCCTCACTAGCTTCAGGTTCTTCTTCCTCCCCTTCAGCTGCTTGAACCTCACCCCTTCCAACCCCTCTGAACCCACCGCGAGCTGCCTCAGCAACGCCCTGCTGCTCCTTGCACTGCCGATTAGTGTGAGGGCACCACTCCCCATGCTATTGCCCGTACCCATCCCCTCCCATGCTTCCTCCCCTGCTGCTCCTCCTCCTCCTAGCAACCCCACTCCACCACCCCCCCCAGCAGAAGCAAACAGAGGGAGGCGGGAAGAGGAACCCAGGAGGTTGGCTTGCGAGAGATTGGCCCGGGAGAGCAGGCGAGGTGTGCGCATGGACGCTCCTGCGCCCGGCCCTGAGCCGTCTTCTTCCCATTCTCCCGCGCCCTCGCCTCTATCCCCTTTATAGTACGCCTCAGCTCGTTGCTTAAGAGCTTCTCTCTGTGCTGCTTGCTTCACGTGCTCTCTCCACTCCCATCCGCCCCATTCCACACGTGCACACGACGATCTCTCCCTCCGCTTCCTCTCCCTTTCCTTCTTCTCCTTCTCTCTCTTCTCCCTCTTCTCCCTCTTCTCCTGCTCCCTCCTCTCCTTCCTCTCCTGTCTTTCCTCCCAGCCCCCCTCCTCCAGCTTCTGTTTCTTCCGCATTTTCCTCCTCTCCTCCTCTTCCTCCTCCTCCATTCCCCAATGCATCCCCGCACCCTCCCCATGACCATCACCCAGCGCAGACACCATCCCCTCCAGCTCTCTCTCGAAGTCACCTCCTTCCTCTCGCTTCAAATATCCGTCCTCCCTCTTCGCATGATCGTCCTCCCTCTTCGCATGATCGTCCTCCCTCTTCGCATGATCGTCCTCCTCCTGTTCCGCCTCTTCCTCCTCCCTCTCCACCTCCTCCTCCTCCTCCCCACTCCCCTGACCCAGCAGCCCACCTGGTTGTTCCTCCGCCTGCCTGGTAGCCAGAATAATCTGCCTCTCTGTCCTCGCTCCACCTGAATGTACACCAACAGACTTTTTCTTTCTCCTCGCTCCAGCTGCATGTGGGATCGGAACCGATTCAGAAGACTTCGATTTTCTAAACGCAGCAGCAGAAGCAGCACCAGCTTCTGAACCGTGGATTGGACCAGCTGAAGCTTTCTGAAGGTATCGCATGAGCTGGCGCTCTGTGCCAATAGGAACGCGCCAGCTGGCTTCACCCTTCTCCTCCTTGTCTCTTTCTCTTTCTTCGCTCCCACTACCATCCCCCTCTTCCCCGTCACCCTTCCTTCTTTTCTTCTTCTTCTTCCATTTCTTCCTCCCCCTACTCTCACCTCTTGAATCACTCTCACTCCCCTCCTCCTGCTCTCTCTCATGCTCTCTCTTCCCCTCCCAATCACCCCCTCTCTTAGCAAATACACCTGCACCGGACCTCCCTTCCTCTCCCCTCTCCTCTCCCTCATCTGCTCCCATCCACTCTTCAGATGACCATTCTGCAAACCGGCTTTTCTTGCTTCTCTTCTTCTCCTTCCTCCTCCTGTGCTTGCCCTTTTCCTCACCTCCTCCCTCCCTCGCTCTCCTCTTCTCTCGTTCTCTCTCCCTCTCCCGCTCCCTTTCCACCTCCATCTGTGTCTGTCTCATCTTCCTTCTCACCCACTCCTCACGCCAATCGTCCTTCCTGTGTGTCGCAACACCTGACTGCAGTTCCCCACCTCTCCCACTTTCTGGCATTTGCTCCCGCTTCTCCATTTGCTCGCCTTTCCCCTCCTCCTTGCCCCTCCCTACAATCACATCCCTCTCTGCACTACCACCCTGCCTATAAGCACCATGATCCATGTGATAATAAGAAGGACCCCATCTGCCCATCCCACCGCTCTCCACTCCTCCTTTCCGCCACTCCTCTCCTCTCTCCTCTCGCTTCTCCCCACCTTTCCCATCCCCTTCCCTCTCACCTTCCCCTCCCCCAATCTCCGTCTTTATCCTCTCTCCCCCTTCAACCACCACATGTCCCATACCCTGCCCACCACTTCTCATCGCCTGAAACTCTGCCTGCAACCGCTGCTCAAAAGCAGCCATGAAAGCACTTTTCCCATCACCCTGCACCTTCACCAAAGCAGCCCCTGCCGTTCTCTCCCCAACCCCACCAACGTGACCCGTCCCCACACCACCGCCAGCCAGCCCATCACCATTAACCGTTTTAGTACCCATATCCCTGCTTCCCCTTGCCCCCACACCCCAGTCCAGGTAGCTGCCCTTATACCCACCGGCCTTCCTCGCTTTCCCATCCAATACCCTTTGAGGACTTAACAAAGAGCCAGTTGCTTTCAACTCAGAGCCCTTCTCACACGCCTCCTCCTCCCTTTTCTTCCCTCCCTCCTCCTCCGTCTTCTCCTTTTTCTTTTGCTCCTCACCATCACCCTTCTCTTCCTCCTTTTCCTTCTCCTCCTCCTTCCTCTGTTCCTTCTCAACGCTCCCTAAAAGGCATCCCCTTACCTCCTCACCTTTCTCACCCTTCTCATCCTTCTCTTCCCTTCCCTGCCCAATACCTCCTCGTACCTTCTCCTCCCTCACTCCTTCCCCAGACCCTTTCCCCCTCCCTCCTGCGCTTTCCCTCTGCCCCATCGCTACAGCCACAGCACCCACAGCTCCATTATTCCCATCAGGTCTTCGGCTTGTTGCCTCATAATTGGGATCCTTACCTGAGCTGTGGCTTACTGCATTCCTGTCGGATTTTTTCGCATGCTTGTTAAATGCAACACGTCTACCACGCTCTGTAGGAGGCTTTTGAGCCGCCTCGTTCGCCTTATCCACTCCTCTTAATTCCATGTCAACGCACCTCTCTTGCGTGGACTCAAAAGGCGCCTCCGCCGTGTCTTCCCCGTGGCTTTGTTTCACTTCAACGCACATCAAACTGCGACCTGAACCATGTGCTTCCTGCCCGTGTATCAGCTTCGGTTCGCCCTCCTGAGACCCCGAACGAAGCCTCGGTTCGGAAAGCTGGGCTGGTGCCTGGACATCCCGAACCACTTGTCGAGCCTCATGCCTAGGCTCGGAATCCAGACCTTCGGCTGCCAAAGCTGCAGCTTCGGTTTGGAGTGCGGAGCGAAAGGAGAGGCGGTGAGCCGTGTTGGCCCAAGAGACCAGACGGATCGAGGGGGTGAAGGAAGGGGAGGAGTGTTGGAGAATGGATGTAGAGCGTGGGAGGTGTGACGGAGGGAGGTGCTGTTGTGAGTGAGAGGAAGGCAGGCGGTTGAGAGACAGCGACACTTCCCTCCACTGACCGCTGCTTAGCGCCTGCGAAGGGAGAGGGGGGTTGGGGTGAAGGTAGGAAAAGCGGCAAGGAGAGAATCAACCTGTTAACCCTCAGAAACCAACCAACTAGTGAGCGAGAGAAGGCTGGGACTCACTCACCCTCAGCATGAAACGTCCCAGTAGCAGCTCCTCCTTCTCCTGCCCTTCACTCTCCTCTGCCTCCTCCTCCCCACCCTCCTCTGTTACCCCTCTTGTCATCCTCCTCCCCCCCCTCCTCTCCACATCCTCCTCTTCCCCCTCACTCCCTTCCTCCTCTTCGCTCTCCTCCCCTTCCTCCTCTTCATCCTCTTCTTCCTCCTCCTCCTCCTCACTTTCCTCTTCCTCTCCCTCATCCTCCTCTTCTTCCTCTTCCTCCACCTCCTCCTCCTCCACTCCGTCTCCGTCCTCCTCGTTCTCCTCCTCCTCTTCCTCTTCTTCCCCCTTATTCCTCAGCAACATCCCGCCACCACGACTACTGCCAGTCACCAACAACACCTTCTGAGATATCTCAAAGGCTGCTCTTGGTTTGCCTATGCTGCTACTCACTAGCACCACCTTCTGACACGTTTCAAAAGCCGCTCTTGGTTTGCCTATGCTGCTGCTTAGCAGCGTCTGAAGGGCGGACAGGGGCTGTGGACTCTCAACCTTCGTCCCCTCATCTTTCCCTTTCACATCTGCACTCCTCCTCTCGCTCACACCCCTCTCGCCTGCACTTGCTTTACCTCCGCCCCTGTCACCCTCGCTTCCTTCCTCCTCACTCAACCCATCCCTACTACCATCCTCCCTCCCCCCATCCCCAGTCAATCCTCGGCTGCCATCATCCATATCCGTCACACCAATGCCACCGTGCAAATCCCTGATAATCTGCCCATTTCTGCGACCGTGAGACGAGCCCTTGTGATTCCCACCATGAGCGCTTTGCCGGTTCAATTCGGTGGTTAAGTCCACATCTGTGCCTCGACTTGCCAACTCCCCAACCTCATTGTGATATGTTGGAGAGAGGCCGTGTCTTAGAGAGGGGCCATGTCTTGGAAAGGATTGCCCTGTGTTTATCTCACCTGCGCTTGAACCCCCCCAGGCTTTAAGTGCTGTCGGTGATGTGACCCCTGCGTCATCACCACCAATGTCGTCACTCGCAGTGCTGTCGGCATGTACGTCCTCAGGAGTCACATCACTGCCAGACGCATCAGCGTCAGCAGCAGCATCAGCAGCAGCATCAGCAGCAGCAGCGGTGGCAGCGGCATCACCAGCGGCAGCATTGGCACTAGCAGAAGCAGGAGCATCAGGAGTCACGTCTCTGTTAGCAGCATCAGTAGAAGCAGCTGCAGATTCAGAGGCAGCAGAAGCATCAGCATCAGCAGCATCAGCATCAGCAGCAGCAGCAGCAGCAGCAACAGCACTAGCAGCAGCAGTAGCATCACAATCACGTTGACTACCCTCAAGTGACCAGGGATCCTGCCCCCCTTCCTTTTCCTCCTCGCTTTCCTCCCCCTTTGGCACCTTCTTCTCCTCACCATGTCCCTTTCGCCCTTCCAATCCTCCTCCCATCTCAAAGCCGCCTCTCTTCCCCTTCACCACTCCTCCCCCTATAGCAGAACTCCCTTTCACCCCTGCTGGAAAATGTGCTCCATGCACCAGTCTCTTTGCAAGTGGGACATCTTCCAACCCACTGTCACTCCCACCCTCCTTCTGCCTCTCCCTTTCCCTCTCCCTCTCCCTCTCCGTTTCCCTCTCCCTTCCCCTCTCTCTTTCCCTCTCCCTTTCCCTCTCCCTCTCCCTCTCCCTCTCCCTCTCCCTCTCCTTCTGCCTCTCCCTTTCCCTCTCCCTTTCCCTCTCCCTCTCCCTTTCCCTCTCCCTTCCCCTCTCCGTTTCCCTCTTCCTTCCCCTCTCCCTCGTCCTCTCCCTCTCCTCTCTATCCTGCTGCTGCCCTTCCTTCACATCTCCCCTTTCTCCTACCCCTCTCTCCTCCCTACCATCATCATCATCACTACCACCAATGCCAATAGCAGCACAGCCACCATCCCCAACACGGTCACCATGGCTGTCAGTACCAGCCCCCTTTGCCCGCTTTCCCTCTTGCAAAGTATCACCTGAATCATTATCACTTTCCCCACCTAAATCCTTCACTCGTTCCCCACCCAACGCCCCAACCATCTCACCTCCTCCACTCTTCCCCCTCACTCTAATTCCCTCAACCTTATCATCCCCGCTCTCACCACTGCTCTCAGCAACACTCCCCACACCATTCCTGTCTGATCTCCCCTCCCCTGCGCTCAACCCCACACTCCCCTTCTGCTCCTCCGCACCTCCCTTTCTTCCTCCCCCTACAGCTTCTTCTCCTCCTCCTCCTTCTCCTGCTACCTCTTTTCTTCCTCCATCCCCTTTCCGTTCGCCCCCTTTTCCTCCTCCTCCTCCTGCTTCGACTGCTTCCTCCTTCGCCCCACCACCCCCTATCCCCCCTCCTGGCGCCTTCCCACCTCCCATCAATAGCTGCAACCCTGTCAGAATTCCTCCCGTCACAATCACCCCTGCTGCAGGCACACTCACTCCCCCTGTTCCTGCCTTGAATCTATCCATTTTTTCACCACTCCCACTAACACTCCCACTCCCCTCACACACACCCCTTGTTTCTGTCGCCACTCCAATTGCCTCACCAGATTCACAGCCATCAGACTTAACACCCCTCCTATCTCGCTCCTGTTCCTTCTCTCCTTCCTCATTCCCCTTTCCTCCACTTTCTCGCTTCCCTCTATCCCTTCTTCCTCCTCCATCCCCTTCCCCTACCTTTTCACTCCCTTTTGCTCCATGCCTCTCCTCCTCCCTCCTGTCTCTCTGCCCTATGCGATCCTGAACCTTCGTTAAGTCCTCATCCTTTCTCTTCTCTTGCTCCCTCACCATCTCGTTTCCTCCCTCCTCCACATAGCTTGCCTCATCCACGCTCTCTCTCCCCTTTCTTTCCTCAGATCTCACCCGTCCCTCATCCCTCCTCTCCGCCCCTCCTTTTCCCTGCCCGTCCGCATCGGTTTTCCTCAGCTGAAATCCCGGGGGTACTGAATCTCTAGACGTCTCAAACCCAGGAGGCCCTGACGTCTCAAAATCAGCCTCAGCCCCTCCCAGATGCTGCTGCTGCTGCTGCTGCTGCTGCTGCTGCAATTGCTGCTGTTCCCAGTGCTCATGCTGACCCTCTTGCCCTTTCTCCTGCTCTTTCTCTTGCGCTTGCTCTTCCTCGCGCTTCTTGTACCTTCGACCCTCTGAGGCAGCCAGTCTAGCAGTGGTGGCTTCTGCCAAAGCAGCAACCCTCCTACCCCACTCTGACCCTCGGGATGTGGACTGCAGTAGATTCAACGCGGAGGATAGCGGTGGAGGGGAGTGCGGGAGGATGGGAGGAGGTGAGTAAAGGTGGTGAGGAGGGGAGTGAGGGAGGGTAGGAGGAGGGGAGTGTGGGAGAGGAGGAGGACGTGGCACGGGGAGGGAAGCCGGGAGGGGATGGAGGGGATGGGGGAAAGGAGGCTGGGAAAAAGGAGGGACCTCGAAGAACTGGGAAGGAGGGATCAGTAGTGGTGGTGGTAGTGATGCTGATGATGATACTGGTGGTGGTACGCGTGGGGGGGATGGTGACGGTGGGGGTGTTGGCAGTTTCTTTGCTCGAATAGGCGGCAGGGAATCAAAATCCATTGCTTCAAATAGTAGCTTCGGATCCTTCACCCCCTCATGCCGCTTCACCCCCTCATACGCTTCCACCCCTTCCTCCAGTCCCTGAGTTTCAGCACTTGATGCTTCTACCCTCGCCACTTTTCCCATGCCTCTCTTGTGTAATTCCGGCAGTTTTCTATCCTGCTCTGCCTCTCCTGCTGCCCCCCACTCTCTTTCAACCCTTGTTCTCCAGTATCCCACGTGATTGGAGGCAGGACGCGAATGAAGAGGTGGCGGAGAAGTAGCAGCAACAGCAGCAGCAGCAGCCGCAGTAGCAGCAGACGCAGGGGGAGAGGTAGCAGGATCGTTATCACCACCAGCACCACCAGCATAAACACCACCAGCAGCACCACCAGCAGCATCAGCAGAAACATCGGCAGCAGCAGCATCAACAGCAGTAGAGGGAGCAGCCGGAGACGCAATCGCAGCACCAGCTGAAGCAGCAGGGGAAGGAGCGGTTTGAGCAGGTGAAAGCACAGAGGCACGGTTAGAGAGAGCAGAGGTGAGGTGGGGACCAACAGCAGCGTTGAGGAAGGAGGGGCAGTGCAGCGATTGCAGCACTATGGTATGCAGGCGGGTGCGGACGAGAGAGAGTGAGGAGGAAAAGAGGGCGTCGAGGGATGGAGGGGTGGAGGAAGGGAGTAGCTGCTGGTGTTGGTGCTGCTGGTACTGTTGTTGTTGCTGCAGCGGTTGCTGCTGCTGTTGTTGCTGCTGCAGCGGCTGCTGCTGTTGCTGGTGCTGATGTTGCTGCTGCTGTGGCTTAGACGGGTGTCTCCCTAGCAGAAACCCCAGGGAGATGGGAGGAGCGTGCATGTTGCGAATGTCTGATAACTGGTGGGATGTGTGGGGAGACAGGCAAGAAGAAGTGGGTGGGAATCAAGCTTCAAGAGTTGAGAAGTATCATGCATCACATCACATCACATCACATCACATCACATCACATCACATCACATCACATCACATCACATCACATCACATCACATCACATCACATCACATCACATCACATCACATCACATCACATCACATCACATCACACTATCCCAGGCACCTCAGTATAAGACGCATGACACATACATACCATGAGGCTGGGTAAGAGATGCCCACACCACACTGCAGCCACCACCTCAGCATCACAATAGAGAACGGCCCCTTGGGTGCCTTGTCTTCCCTTAAAAGCACACCATACCACACCATACCATACCACACCATACCATACCACACGCTGCATACCATGAGGCTGGGTATGAGATGCCCACACTGCAGCCACCATCGCAGCATCACAATGGAAAACGGCCCCTTGGGTGCCTTGTCTTCGCCCAGATACGTCCAAAACAGCCCACTCTCCTCCTCCTCCTCCCATCCTTTTCTCACGTCCATCCCCTTCTGACCGTCCTTCCCTCCTCCCACATCCCCTGTATCCCCCATAACCGCGTTCCCAGCAGCAGCATTGGTGCCAATAACAGCACCACTAACAGCAGCAGCACCACCATCATCAGCAGCAGAAGCAGCAGCGGATTCTGCTAGTACTGATGCCATTTCCATTCCTGTCCCTGCTCCAACAACTGCAAGCATGGTCATTTGCTGCTTCGCCTGCACCTGCTGATTCTGATCCTCCTGCTGCTGCTGCTGCTGCTGCTGCTGCTGCTGCTGCTGCTGCTGCTGCTGCTGCTGCTGCTGCTGCTGCTGCTGCTGCTGCTGCTGCTGCTGTTGCTGCTCTTGTTGCTGCTGCTCGGGATCCTGCATTCTCAACTCTGGCTGTTGCTGTTGAGATGCTGTAGGCAAGGAGTTGAACGGAAGGGACACCCCAAAGTGAAGCAGCACGGAAGCTTCCCCTTTCAGCACCCGAGCCAGGGGCATAGGCTCGGCATCCGAGCCTTCCGGGTAGGCCAGGATATGATCCGGAAGCTCCCTGAGCGTGGTTCGGTTCCAGGGATGGAGAGGCAATCGAAGATGGCAGTATAAGAAGCGGGTAGGGAAGCAAGCGGGTAAAAGGAAGGGAGAAAGGAAAAACCAGTAAGCTAATCAATCATGCAGCTTGGATCAACGAGGCAATGACCTTTCCAAGTCAGCTGTTTACACTAGATTTAGCCCAACCGCCCTGCAGCAAGCTGTGACTTACTATGGCTGAACAGAAACGAGTGCAGTCATGGAACTGAATATAAGCCATTGTCCGTTAATCACTCACCCTGTTGCAAACTGCTGCTGAACGTGACTGAAAGGGAAAGGCCCACTTGTTGCCCCCAGCGTTTCATCCAGAAGGCACCACGCATCACACTCCTCCGCACCCATCCCCACCGCATACCCCTCTCCTCCCGCCCCTGCTCCCATCGCTCCTCCCATCCCTGCTCCCATCCCTGCTCCCGCCTCTACTCCCATTTCTACACCCGCCCCTCCTTGTATCTCTGTTCCCATCCTTGCTCCCCCTCCCTCTGCTGCACACACCTTTGCCCCAAACATTCTATCTCCACTCTCATTCACAACGCCTGCTGCTGCTCCTACTAGTTTCCCTGCCCCGGCCTCTGGTGCTGTGGTCTCTCCACCTGACGCCCTCTTATAAGCAGCTGCGATAAAAGCAGGAGGGCCGAACCCAGGAGGAGCATCAAGAAACGCACCAGCGCCTTCAAACGAACCGCCTTCCCCCACTGGTTCACTCTTACAGACTGAGTTACTTTCAGCCCCTCTCCTCTCTTCTCCACTCCTCTCTGCCCCTCCCCTCTCTGCCCCTCCTCTCTCTGTCTGACCCCTCTCTCCTGCTGCAGTCATTCTTCTATCCTGAAAACCAATCCCCACCGCACCATCACGAGCAGCACCCATACCCACCGCACCATCACGAGCAGCACCAAGCGCCATGGCACTATGAGGGAAAGCAGTACAGGTAGAACCCTCAAATCTCCCACCCCCTCGCTCTCCCCACCCACGCCCTCCCCGCCCGCCTCTCCTGTCCATCCATCTGCCAACCCCATCACGACTCCCATCACCCCGACCACCACCACCACCACCACCACCACCACCACCACCACCACCACCACCACCACCACCACCACCACCACCACCACCACCACCACCACCACCACCACCACCACCACCACCACCACCACCACCACCACCACCACCACCACCACCACCACCACCACCACCACCACCACCACCACCACCACCACCACCACCACCACCACCACCACCACCACCACCACCACCACCACCACCACCACCACCACCACCACCACCACCACCACCACCACCACCACCACCACCACCACCACCACCACCACCACCACCACCACCACCACCACCACCAGCAGCAGCAGCAGCATCATCCCGCCCACCATCCCAACGCGCACCTCCCCTCCCTCCCCGCCCAAATTCCCTTCCTCTACCGCCATAGCCCAACTCCTCCATTCCCCTCATCCTCCACCTGTCTTCCCTCCCTGCGTGTTGCCCTGAACCCTCTCCCATGCTTGCCTCCTTCTCGACCCTCCCCCCTCCCCCCCCCCCACCCATTGCCCTCGATCAAACACCCCGCCTCCCCCTGTCTCTCCAGGATTCCACGCCCTTCCCGGCCTCCTATCTCCCTCTTGAGGTGACTGGAAACTCCTCCTTTCGCCTTCCTGAGGTGACTGGAACGGCCTCCTTCCCCCCTCTTGGAAGACAGGTGAAGGCCTCCTTTCCCCTTCGCTGTCTCTGGAGGTTCTACCTGCCCTTCTCTCTTCCCTCTCTCCCTCGTCTCTAGCCCTCCTCCTCTCCCCATCTCCACCCCCTCCCCTCCCTTCTCCTTCCACAGATCGCCCCCTTTCCTCGTCCTCCAACGAACGTCCCCTCAATTTTCCCCTATCTCGACCATGCATAGCCCTGCTACCCTCCTCCCTTCCCCTCTCTCCTCCTACATCCTCCTCTCTCCCCTTCTCTTTCCCCCCTCCCTTCTCCCGTCTCCCATCCACCCTGCTTCCGCCTAGCTCCCACCGATCCTCCTCCTCTACCCTCCCCTCCCTTCTCTCTTCTCCCTTCCTCTCATCATACTGCCGCCCAGAAAGCCCTCCCAGATTCCTCTCCTGAGGAGACAACACACCCCTAACCCCACCCAGGCTCCTCTCCTCCTTGTGCCCTCTGCTGCTTTCTCCAAGCCTCTTCTCTTCAAACAGATGTCTCCTCCTGTCTCCCTCAACAAAACCCCCTCCTCTGAGGCTCTCACCCACTCTCTCAACACCACGCCTTCTCCCATCCCTGTCACTGCTATCACAGTGCCTCCCCCCCGCGAACCCTGCAGGCGAATTGAAAGTCTCATTGCTTCTAAAATCTCGCTCTGCTGATTCCCCTCCCACGCGCCCTTCTCTTCCCAACCCTTCTCTCACACCCTCCTCTCTCCCCTTCTCGCATCTACTCCCTCTTCCCTCCTCACCCGTACCCACCGCTCTTTCCTCCCTTCCTCCACTTTCCCCTCCCTTACTCCCCCCCCGCCTGAGACCAGCACTAAGTACCACCTCCTTTCGTCTGTCTCTACCCTGCAAGGACGACGCTATAATATCCCTCACATCAACAATCTTAATCACCTCTCTCGGAACATCTCTCTTCTTGTCCCGTTCTCCCTCCCGCCCCCTCCTCTCGTCTTCCCTTCTCCCTCTGTCGCCGTCCCTCCTCTCCCTCTCCCCGTCCCTCCTCTCACTCTCTCCTACTTTCCTCACACTCCCCTCTCCTCTTCCCTCCCTCGTTCCATCCCTCCTGCTCTTGTCACCTTCTCTCCTCCCCAGATCCCCCTCCCCCTTTTCCTTCTCCTTCATCCCCCCAACCACCCTTCCTTCTCCCCCTTCCAACGAACCCCTTCGAGTCTTCAAGTCTAGATTCAATGAACCAGCAGCAAGGCCTGAGTGCTCCTTCCCCCGTTCCCTTGCCCCTTCTTTCCTCTCGCTCTCTCTCTTCCTCCTCACAGCGGTTAAGTCCCTGGGCCTACGTCTATCCTCCTCCTCCTCCTCCTCCTCGCTCCCACCGCTGCTTCTACTCCAGCCGCTCTTCCTGCTGCTCCCCCTGCTGCCGCTCCTGCTCCTGCCCTTGCTCCTGTCGCTGCTGTTGCTGCTGCTGCTCCTTCTCCTGCCTCTGCCCCTTCCCCCCCTGCTGCTATCGCTGCTGCTGGAATCTTCTATTTTCTTCCCTGCACGTCCGCCGTTCGGTTTCCCCCGGCTGTAGTATCTATCAATGCTCCTGCTCCTACCCCTGCCCTTGCTGCTCCTGCCGCTACTGCTGCTTCGACTTCTGTTTCTCTTGCTGTTAACCCGTTCCTTGCCGTTCCTTCCGCCCTTACTGCTCCTGCTACTGCTGCTCCTGCCTCTACTCCTGCCCTTTTTTCTACTACCATTATCAACTCTATCCCTGCTCCTGCTCCTACTCCTACTTCTGCTGCTGCTGCCGCCACTGCTGCTGCTGCTGCAGCTGCTGCGGTCTCCCCGCCTCTCCATTCGTCGAGCTCCATAACGACCCTTCTCAGGCCATTCCCGCTCGCTCCTCCTACCCTTTTCTGGAGAACCCCTTTTCGAAACGGCTTTCCGCGAACCCTCCTCCCCCTTGCCGCTGACGTCACCAACCCTCTTCGCTGATGTCATCATCTCATGCGTACTCTGCTCGAATCTGCTTATCCCTGGTCAACCGAGCGTCGTTGACCGATAACGATGTCAAGAATCCTAGCGTCACCCGTTATTGTCACATCAGGCGTTACTCGATCACTCCCGCTGTTGTCACATCGCTTCTGCTGCAATCGCTGCTACTTTGGGTACGGTTCGAAAAAAGTCGCGGGTTTATCGCTAATCGCACACGCCTCTAGCCCTCCTGCAAGCATTATTATTCCGACACATTCCTATTGTCTATCGTCAGCGTGAGCAAAGTCCTCTGTTGCCATTACTCTCGTTGTAAATCTGACGAATCTCACTGCAGTCTCTTTCTACCGCAGCTGAATTTCACGCTAGTCCTAGACCTTTGGCTTATTCGATGGGTAATATCGCGACCTTCGCTCACTTGCCTGGTCGCATGCTATTCGTCTGGCAAACTAGCCAAACAGTCAACATGCCAGCATCTAACACGATCAGTCTCTGGAGCATCTACTACGATCAGGTTCATGGAGTTTGTCTCTATAAACATTCAAGTCTCTATAAACATTCAAGTTGATGGACATCAGACCTCCGCAGCCCACCTGTTTACGAATAACAGCACACGATAAGTCTCTGGAGCATCTACTACGATCAGGTTCATAAACTGGCAAAGTTAGTCGAAACGCGTTTTTCCAGCTGACTACTAAATAGTCGAGAGCAGACTCTAACAAGCACAAGCAGACCTAGTTGCGCGTGTTCCGTTGCTTCTTGGCGAAGGGATGGAGGGGAGAGAGGCAAGGGTTCCACTACCGAGGGCTGAGGGGTGAAGGATGCGAATCATGTGCCAATATCGAGAGTGAACCGTTCATTACTCACAGAAAACCCATTTTGCTCAGCATCACTTTCAAAATGTGTCTTTATATCCCTACCCAAAAACAACCAATTGGAGATTCCACTGTTTAGTACACCTGTACACAAATTGTTGCCAACTTTCTCCAGGCTTCACTGAAATGCAGAAGCAGCCTCATCAGCTACACCTCATATGCGATTCACACATTTTTATCTGCCCGCTGCGCATGAGATCGCTGCTTCGGTGGCATGTAAGGTGAAGCCACACCTGGCACCCCTGGGACTGTAGCCTTTGACCCAGCAGCACCATCCCTAACCGCCCCTGCACCCACCCCACCCCGTGCAGCTCCTACACCCCCTTCTCCACCTCTTACCCCTCCCACATCCCTCACACCGCTCTGCACCCCTCCGACACCCACTCCACCCCTTGCTCCTCGTACATCCGCTGCATTACTACCAGCTGCAGGTTGGGAAGAGCCTATCCCAAAAGCCTTTCCACTGTTTGAACGTCTATAAGCTACCCCACCAGCAGCAGCAGTAGTGTTGGGTCCAGGTTTGGACCCTATACCCGCACCATTGACATTTGTCATGGGTCTAGTGGTTCCAGGCACAGCGGCAGCGGCAGCAGCAGAAGCACGGGCAGAGGTAGGTGCAGGGGAAGGAAAAGGGGCAAGGGCTCGTGTGTGAGGAACAGCAGCAATTGCTGCGGTGGCGGAATGGTTGGTAATGGCTGCAGATTGGGATGTGGCAGCAGCAGCAGCAGCAGCAGCAGCAGCAGCAGCAGCAGCAGCAGCCGGAGGAGCAGCAGTACCACCAGTCCCAGCAACAGTAGCAGGTGCAGCATTGAATGCAGGAGGAGCAGCGGACTTCGATTGAGGAGCAAAGGGTGGGACAGTGGAAGTAATAGGACTGTTGATTGGTGCAGATGCATACACAATTGGAGCAGGAGAAGGAGCGGAGGCAGGAGGAGGAGGAACAGCACAGTTCCCCGCTGCTGATACACCAGTAGAGGCATCTGAGCTTCCAGCAGCTGCTGCTGCTGTTGCTGCTGTTGCTGCTGTTGCTGCTGCTGTTGCTGGAGGATGAGAGTCCTCCCTAGCAGCAGCGCTGACGGTTAAATCCTTCCTTACAGCTCCACTCAAGGACAGGTCATTTGGTGCACTCTGCAGGTCATTTGGTGCACTCTGCAGGTCATTCTGCATGGACGCATTTGGTGCCAAATCCTTCTCGTTTGCCTCTCGCACGGCAGCACGCCCAGCAACAGCCGCAGCAGCAGGTACGGCAGCAGGAATGGCAGAAGGCACGGCAGCAGGAACGGCAGTGATAGCAGGTGCAGGCGCCACTAACGGCCTTCCTTCCATCACATCCCAGCGATCGAATATCAACCTCCCCCCCCTGCCTACCCTCCCCCTCACCCTCAACTCTACACCCTCTCTCGCCACCACCGCTCCTCTCCCCTCCACCACCGATACAGATGACGGTACCAACGGCGGGAGGCAGAGTGAACCAGGAGGAGGAGGCCAGAGGGACGCCGGAGGGGCCCGGTGGGAGAGAAGAGGCGGCTGTATGCGCATTGCAGACAGCTGCTCAAGTGAAAACGAGCGAGTGAAAGGCATGGGAATGTCGGGGGGAGGGGCGCTACGAAGCACGCGGCTCAGCCTGCCTCCTCGGGGAAACACCACCTGCCGCCGCCGCTTTTTCTTCAGCAGCGGGAGAAGATGGTCTAGAGGCGACACAGCATCGGTTACCGGACCGGAGGTTACAGTCGCGTCTGGTAACCACCCGGCCCACCCCCCTGCTCCTGCTGCTCCTCCAGGTGTCATCCCCCCTGCTGCGGCTGATCCTGCAGTTGCTATTCCTGCTGCTCCGACGGAGCCCCGGCGTCGTGTGACTGAGAGGATATTGTCAAAGTGATTCGCAGGAGGGAGGCCGCCTAGAGTGACAAAGGCAGGGGCGCCGCTGCTGGTGGTCGTGGTGATGGTGGTGCCAGCAGGAGGTGGTAAGAGCTGGTATTGTTGCTGCTGCTGGTGTTGGTCGTCTGATGTGGCTCCAGGGAAAGGCCTGGGGATGGAGGAGGAGAGGTCTGGGATGATCCCAAGGGCCTCTGCTTGTTGCACCGTGATTTCCTGCGATTGAGATATACAATGTAAGCACACACACACAGTGGGAACAATGTGATGCTGGAATAAGTGCGATTCTTGGGGGCTGATTTTGGAATTCAAAACATCAAATTTAATGTGATTCGACTCAATGTAGCATTACCCTTTGAGTTTGATGTTTTGAGTCGACATAAAAACCGCCTAATTTTTTAATCGACTCAGAAATTGCCTCATCACATTAAGTGTGGGGTTCAAAACCCAACTCTAGCTTATGGCACAAATGGGAAGGCAGAATCAAAACGGTCAGTTCCAATTCCGAAGCATATGTGATGAAGGAAGAATCAGCTACAGCCTACAGGTATGCGAGATGCATCCATGATGTGCCAGACATCCATTCACTCACGACATGCAGACACAAAGGCTTCCCCACTTACCCGTTCTGAGAGCGCTGCTTGCTGCAGAGTCACTTCGCATAGGATCAGTTCCCGCTTCCTCTCCTCCCTCTGCATGCAACCAAGGCGCAAAAACATCCAGGGCAGGTGGTCGGTGGGTGGGACATGGATACAAAAACGACTTCTGAGTCGACTCAAAAGTCATCCAGAGTCACTTCACACAGGATCAGCTCCCGCTTCCTCTCCTCCCTCTGCATGCAAGTGTCAGTAGAAAAGAGAGCCATTTAAAATCAAGGGAAACGAGTCACACGCATGCAATTGTCCAATGGGACACATCATTGGATTGGAAAGAAAGGAGAAATGAAACCGGGATGCACCCGAACGCAAGGCATAAGACCAGTAGGAAGAGTGGGTGAGAAACAGAGGGACACTCTTTCTTTCGGGAGATACGGGAGGGAAAGGAAGACAACAGTTGGAAGAAAAAAAAAGAGCCAGAGGGAAAAATAACGGGGAAAAATGCGGGAGGCAGAGGGAGAGAGCGATGATCCAGCACATTGGAAGGGGGAGTTGAGAGAGCCAGAGCGAATCTGCACTCACTCTCTCAACAGCCTGTGCCAGTTGCAAGGCATCTTCAATGTTCTTCTGGACCTGCTACAAAGGGGATAAATGAAAACAGAATCGCCAAACAGGGACGGTAAGGCATGGAAGGGCATAATAAGCTCAACATTGAAGATGCAGCAGAAGCGATTGTAGGGCACAATAAGCCTGTTAATGAGCAACATGCCATTTGAACAATCGAAACGGGTATGGCACCATGGGGAAAAAGGACGTACCTGCACGAGCTTTTCATATGATGCCATGTCATTCTCCCTCCGCTGCATCTGCATGCCCAATATAGATCGTGTCCGATGCGCACGTGTAAGAGAAGGAGCGGGGAAAGGGGGGCGGAGGGAAAGAGGGCGGGCGTGGGGGAGGGAGTGGGGGGAGGGGACGAGGCGGGGAGGGATGAGATTGGAAACACGCTCAACGTGCATTTGGTAAGTGGGTGGAATGACTAGCGAAATCATCACCAGAAGAACACATTATTGAGCAAACACCCACATGGGTGGGTGGTGCAGGCAAGCAAAGTATACCCGGCGTGTGATGGGGCGGTGGGCCCTCTCTCTGGGTCGGAACACGTTGAAAGGGTTGGTGTCTGTGACGGCAGGGGAAGGCTGTATGTGATTTATGGGTCGACTCATAATCACGATCACCGTACTTGTCAACACTGACTCTTAACCTACTCGGCGTGTGTTGGGGCGGTGGGCTCTTTCTCTCGGTCGGAACACGTTGAACGGGTTGGTGTCTGTGATTGCCGGCGAGGGCTGCAGGCGCCTCAGAATGGGCTTTCCCCATCGCTCCCTCTTGGACCGCCAGTAGTCGTACACTGCAGCGATGATGGCCTGCCTCGGTACTTGTGCTCTCAACGCCTGCAGCATGCACACGAAACACGAATGGAGCATGGGTGGGTGGGTGGGGTATTGAGTTGCAGAATGGGCTTTCCCCATCGCTCCCTCTTGGACCGCCAGTAGTCGTACACTGCAGCGATGATGGCCTGCCTCGGTACTTGTGCTCTCAACGCCTGCAGCATGCACACGAAACACGAATGGAGCATGGGTGGGTGGGTGGGGTATTGAGTTGCAGAATGGGCTTTCCCCATCGCTCCCTCTTGGACCGCCAGTAGTCGTACACTGCAGCGATGATGGCCTGCCTCGGTACTTGTGCTCTCAACGCCTGCAGCATGCACACGAAACACGAATGGAGCATGGGTGGGTGGGTGGGGTATTGAGTTGCAGAATGGGCTTTCCCCATCGCTCCCTCTTGGACCGCCAGTAGTCGTACACTGCAGCGATGATGGCCTGCCTCGGTACTTGTGCTCTCAACGCCTGCAGCATGCACACGAAACACGAATGGAGCATGGGTGGGTGGGTGGGGTATTGAGTTGCAGAATGGGCTTTCCCCATCGCTCCCTCTTGGACCGCCAGTAATCATACACTGCAGCGATGATGGCCTGCCTTGGTACTTGCGCTCTCAATGCCTGCATGCATGCGCAACACGAAGGGAAGGGAAACAGACAGGCTGCAAACGCCTCAGAATGGGTTTCCCCCATCGCTCCCTCTTGGACCGCCAGTAGTCAACACCGCAGCAATGAGGGCACGCCTTGGCACCTGCGCTCTCAACGCCTGCACATGCACATGCAAGCAACAAGCAGGTGGGAAAGGTCTTTGTGCAAGTGCGAGAAGAAACAGCACAGTGCAGAGTCGGCTTCCCCCACATGCTCCAGAGCAATTCGAATTACCCAGCTCGTGCGAAACAGGCAAGCACCAGCAGGTGGGAAAGGTCTTATGTGCAAGTGTGACAGGAAAAAGCACAGTGCAGAGTCGGCTCCCCACATGCTCCAGAGCAATTCGGATTACCCAACTCGTGCGAAACAGGCAACCCCGAAGTCCTCATGACCCAATTGCAAACTCCCTCCCCTGCTTGCCTCCCCCTCAGCAGAATCAGAACTCACATCCACGGCTTGTTGCTGCAGCAGCAGAACGGACACTCGCACTCCCCCAGATGACACCTTTGCGAATTCTCAAAAGCGACTCGGATCATCAAGAAATACAGCGGAATCAGAACTCACATCCACGGCTTGTTGCTGCTGCAGCAGGACAGGCACTCGCACTCCCCCAGATGCCACCTGCCCAGATACACCTGTCTGTTCCGCCCCTGCCAGCATAGCCGTTCCTGCCTTGGCCCTCGCCCGCGCATCTAGGAGCTCCATCTGGTATATCATCCACTCCAGCCTGATGACGTGGCATGGGAAGATGACGTGGCATGCATTAGAGCTGAGGCATGAGAAAAGGCGGCGTGGAAGCATGCAATCAGGAAAAGCAAGCACACACAAAGGTAGTTGTGCTTACTGTGGCAGCACCGCATTGTACCTTCAGCTGGAAATCGAACTGCACTGCACTGCACTGTACCTGTCTGCAGTGAGCAGCAGTCTGTTTTGGTTGAGCACTCCCAGCCAGTCCTCGTTGTCCAAATACATACTCCACGTACACGCCGTTGTCCTGTCGCACTGCATGTTCTTCACCGCACCGTACCACAGTGTACTCACACGGTATCATACTGTACCACACTGGACCGCATTGCACCCCACTGCACCTGTCTGCAGCGAGCAGCAGTCTGTTCTGGTTGAGCACCTCCAGCCAATCGTCATCCTCGTCGTCCAGATCATAATCCTGTCACACTGCATCGTACTTCACCGCACTGTACCACATGTACTCACACAGCACCATACTGTATCGCACTGCACCGCACTGTACCTGTCTGCAGCGAGCAGCAGTCTGTTCTGGTTGAGCACTTCCAGCCAGTCCTCGTCCTCGTCGTCCAAATCATACTCCACGTACACGCCATCGTCCTGCCGCACTGCACGGCGGAAAACACGGAAAACATGGAGGAGATCACATGGGGACAGGAACATCGCAACAGCATGACTGCACGACATCACAACATCACGGTAGCACAACAAGACAGAATCATTATGACAATGAGCCTCAAAAGCACGGCAGCACGACAGCAGGACAGGCCCAGGCCAAGAAACACGAGTTAACCGTCGGATTTGAGCAGCGAGGATCTCGCACCGTGCTTGCTGCGAATGTACGACGACGGTTGGCGAAAGTTCGCCGGGTAGAGCTTGTCGTACGCTTCGACCACGCCGCAGTGCGGCGTCGGGATCTCCACGGACGGTCCCTTCTTCGACGGAGCCGGCAGGATCTGCCACGTCGGCACGACATGACATGGACACGGACACGAAATGTCGACAGGAAGTACACGTCAGATCTGTTAATAATAAATTTGAAATGCTATCGTTGGCTGACGCTCATCGGTCTATACGTAGGGAATCCCTGCAGAATCCAGCCAGCGATTCAAGGAATGACGAGAGGGGTGTATTTTAGGGTTTCAAGTGAAGCCGACGGTAAGACCTGCTCGTTTTCGGCATCGAGAGCGATGTGGCCATGATGGACGGTCCTCGATACACCCTCGTCCTCCGCGTTCAGCTCGTCCGTCGATCGGACAATCGCGAGCTTCTTATTGATGTCCACCGGCCGCGGCCTGAAGGACGGACGGTTCATAGCGAGTACAAGAAACCCTAATCGGTGATACTTAGATTCAGCATTTCCTCGCTCAATCCATGGTGGATCGACATTTCAAATGTTGTGAAGCTAACAGAAACAGTACAGTAAATTGCAAAAGGGTCAGTAAGATAGTGCCTCGTTTGTGCTATCTTACATTATTGTGTGTTGGTCAGTGAATCCTAACGCGTATGAAGCGCCCAAACCCAATATATTTTCAGCACACCCCCGAACCTCCTTGATTACACTCTCGTCAGGTTAGGAATTGTGTAACATTCTATGACTTACTGTATAGCAGCGAGAAATTTGTTTCGTGTGACTGGTTTCGAAACCCACGATGCGCCAACAGTTCTGCTTCGCTTCTAGTTCGTCAAGTCATCTGGATACTAGATCGGGTTACCGATAATTCCCTGACGCAGCTCCAATGCAATTGTTCAGGAATGCGTGGTTTCCTATTCTTTCCAGTAAACACGCACCTGTTTTCCACCACTAAACATTCGAGGGTGGACTTTTCCAAGATTTATCTCTGCTGGAAAACCAAGTCGCTCTTGTGGTGTCTATACTTCCCTACGTTCGTTTCAGCGTCGTCCGGTCTTCGCGAGCCCACAGGAGGCAGCAGGACAGGCGGTGTATTTCGTGGTGCTGCTGCATCAGCTGCGGCTGGTGATAGCTCCTCTAGTGCCGTGTTTAAGTCTGTCTCTCTCCCACCCGTACCCTCTTTAATGCCCACCCACAGGAGGCAGCAGGGCAGGCGGTGTATTTCGTGGTGCTGCTGCATCAGCTGCGCCTGGTGGTGGTGGCAGTGAGGAGTGCAAATGGCAGAGGCCAAGCCTCGCCTTGACCTTGTTCCCTCCTCCCCACTCCACCTCTCCTGTTCTCCAACACAGGAGGCAGCAGGGCAGGCAGTGTACTTCGTGGTGGTGCTGCATCAGCTGCGGCTGGTGGTCGTGGCAGTGAGAGGCACGGAGTCTCTAGAAGACATGATTATTGATGGGCTGGGGAGAGAATGTCCACTCAGTGACGCTGATATGGGAGGGATTGACAGGTGAGAGGGCAGGGGTGTTGAGCTGCCTTAGAGCCTGGATCCAAGTTCCTCTGTTCGACTAAAAAATCGTCCAATCTCCCTGGTGACTTAAAGACCCGCCAGGTCAAAGCACCATGTCTTTCCCTCATTCCCCCTCGTCGCAGAAGCACCATGTCTTTCCCTCATTCCCCCTCGTCGCAGAAGCACCATGTCTTTCCCTCATTCCCCCTCGTCGCAGAAGCACCATGTCTTTCCCTCATTCCCCCTCGTCGCAGAAGCACCATGTCTTTCCCTCATTCCCCCTCGTCGCAGAAGCACCATGTCTTTCCCTCATTCCCCCTCGTCGCAGAAGCACCATGTCTTTCCCTCATTACCCCTCCCACTTCCCCATGTTCCCCATCACCCCTCCTCCTCTCTCCCCTAGGTCGGAGCTGACTTTTGAGTCAGCTTAAAGCTCCCCTAGGTCGGAGCTGACTTTTGAGTCGGCTTAAAGCTCCCCTAGGTCGGAGCTCCACCCCCTCCTGGTGACGGACAGAGGGTGGTGACAGCACCAAACGTGATCTTCCTCTCGTTCCCCTTCCTTCCACTTCCCCCAAATCCCCACGCGTCCCTCCCCCTCCCTCCCCCTTCCTCCCCCTCCCTTCCCTGAGGTCCGAGCTCCACCCCCCTCTGGTGACGGACAGACTGGTGCCTTACTTTGGCCATGCGGGGGTGGTGACAGCAGCACGCGATTTGGCTCTTCAGCTTGATAACATGGAGGATGGGGAAGACGAGGAGAGGAAAGCCCTTTTTTGGTACCTTACATGGGGGAGTGATGACAAGCGATAGCAAGGGGTCTCTCCCTCATTCTCCTCCCACTTCCCCGTGTTCCCCCTCCCCCCTGTGCCTTACCTCCCCTTTAGGTCCGAGCTCCACCCCCCTCTGGTAACGGACAGACTGGTGCCTTACTTTGGCCATGCGGGGGTGGTGACAGCAGCACGCGATCTGGCTCTGCAGCTTGATAACATGGGGGATGGGGGAGACGAGGAGGGGGATGGGATTCAAGGAAAGGCAGGGAGCGTGGAGGATGGGGGAGGGGATGAAGAGGAGGGGTCGCTACTGGGGCACAAGGAGAGGAAGCGACCGAGAAGAGGTGAGTGGTGGTTTTAGTGGGTGCTGATGGTGGTGGGTGCTGCTATTGAGGGGTGCTGGTGCTGGTCGGTGTTGCTGATATGGTGGTGACAGCAGCACGCGATCTGGCTCTGCAGCTGGATAACATGGGGGATGGGGGAGACGAGGAGGGGGAGGGGAGAAGGGGGGTCGTGGAGGGGAAAGGAGGGGGCGTGGAGGATGGGGGAGGGGATGAGGAGGAGGGGTCGCTACTGGGGCACAAGGAGGGGAAGCGGTTGAAAAGAGGTGGGTGGCGGTGCTGGTCGGTTGAGAGAGGTACTTGCTGATATTGGTGGGTTGAGTTGAGAGGGTGCTTACCCTCCCCATCTTCCCTCTCCTCCCATTCGCCCTCTTCCACTTTCGAGTCGATTATCATGTCTTCTCTTTTCCACTGTTCACTCTCTCTGCCCTCCAGGGATTCTATCAGAGCTACTAGGGGAGGGCGGCGAGTGCGAGGGGTATGGCCTGCGACTCGTGGGGCACTCCATGGGAGGTGCTGTGTGCAGCCTCACTGCCATCCGGGTGAGTGGGTGCTGTTCGGGTGACTGTGGCTGTGACTGCTGTCCGTGTGATCAGGGTAGGGGATAGGATGTCAACTAGTGAGCGCCCATGGGCCATAGCGTGGGGCACTCCATGGGGGGTGCAGTGTGCAGCCTCACTGCCATCCGGGTGAGCCGAGCTGGGGGGTAGTGAATGAAGGGTAGAGGGGGACAGGCTGTGCTAACTGGTGAGCGCCCATAGCGTGGGGCACTCCATGGGGGGTGCAGTGTGCAGCCTCACTGCCATCCGGGTGAGTGTGAGAGCTTTATCTGGGTGATTGGGACTGCTGCATGTTCCACCTTCGAGAAATGGCAAACTTCAAAACCTTACTTCCCTCCCTGTAACCCCCGTTCAAACTTCCCCACACCCCGCACAGTTAAGAAGGCGGTTTCCTGAGCTGAAGGCGATAGGCTATGGGCCCATGCCCTGTGTGGACTTCGCCACTGCCTCTCTCCTTGTGATAACTCAAACCCCCTATTGCAACCCTTCATCTTCCATCCAGTTGGAAAAGCGGTTCCCTGAGCTGCGGGCGATAGGCTATGGGCCCATGCCCTGTGTGGACTTCGCCACTGCTTCTATTGAGGTCCACCAAATCTAATCTCCACCCTCCCCTTTTCACAACCCCTGTCCATTCTCCTCTCTCTGCTCTGTTGAGGAAGCGATTCCCTGAGCTGCCTGCGGGCGATAGGCTATGGGCCCATGCCCTGTGTGGACTTCGCCACTGCCTGTGCTTGCTCCAACTTTGATTCTTGAGATGCCTCAACACCTCTCTTCCCCCATGCATCCTCTGCTCCATTCTCCCCGCGCAGTTGAGAAAACGGTTTCCTGAGCTGCAGGCGATAGGCTATGGTTCGATGCCTTGTGTGGACTTCGCCACTGCCTCTCTTCTTGTGGTGCTTCAGATGTAGATTCCACCCTAACCCCTCTGCACCCCTCCAGTTGAGAAAGCGGTTTCCTGAGCTGCGGGCGATAGGCTACGGCTCGATGCCCTGTGTGGACTTCGCCACTGCCTCTGCCTGCTCCAACTTCATAACCACGTGCGTTCTTCTTCGCTTTGCTTTGTGACAGATTTTGGTTAGTCCCCCTTCCCGCCTGCATTTCCCTATGTTGATCCATTCCCTATGGTGCAACTTTATCACCACGTGCGTGCTTTGCTATGCGGCCAATTCGGCAGTGCGTCGCTCAATTCCCTGTGCGACTTCATCACCACATAATTGCTTAGCTAACTTATTTCATATCATTACTGGTAGTGCTTTGAGAAGTGCTTCTGGTCCTTGAGTATCCTTTTTTTTTTTTTTTTTTTTTTTTTGCTTTCTCTGTTACGTGTTTTTTATCAACTAAATAGGTTTTGTGTTTGCTACAGCTTCGTCTATAACGACGAGTTCCCTGTGAACGACTTAGCGCAGGGTCCCCTCACGTGTACCCCTCCCCCCCCCCCCCCTCCTCTCCCACCCACCACCCTCCCTCCCCTACAGCTTTGTGTATAATGACGAATTTCCCCCGCGCACGTCTGTAACGTCAGTCATGCGCCTGCGAGAAGCAGCGCTCACAGCCCCCTCCCTCTCACCTGTACCCTTCCCCCCTTCCCTCCCGTTCCGCCCTCCCCCTCTCACGTCTGTAGCATCAGTCATGCGCCTGCGAGCGGCAGCGCTCCGGGCTGTAGCAGCCGACACGCGTGCAGGCGGGCTCCTGGGCACGGCTGTAGCGGCAGTGGGGCCTGGGACTCAGAGGCGTCACTGCAGCATCCCACTCCCCCGCTTACAGCAATTTCCCCGTCTCCCCTGCATTTTCCCTGTCTCCCAATCTCTCCTTTCCCCAACCCCCTACAGCTTCGTATATAATGACGAGTTCTCTCCGCGTACGTCTGTAGCGTCAGTCATGCGCCTGCGAGCAGCAGCGCTCCGGGCTGTAGCAGCAGACACGCGCGCAGGCGGGCTGCTGGGCACGGCTGTAGCGGCAGTGGGGCCTGGCGCGCAGGCAGGATCAGCTGGAATGAGGGCTGCTGCAGTGGATCGGCTATTGTCTCGCCTCTTCACTCTGCCGTTTGGGATAGGGCGCGGGGATGAAGGTAATGAGATGGGTGGGGTGAACAGGGTGGGGGATGGGGTGGTGGGGGGAGCAGGGTCAGTAGGGCAGGAGTTAGGGCTTCGAAACCGGAGTGGGGGGGCGGAGGAAGGGGAGGGGGAGGAGGAGCAGCAGCAGAGAGAGCATGGGAAGCCAAAACTGCAGAGGATGGCTAGCTTTGCGAGGACTGCTGCAGCATCTGCAGCGTCTGCTGCTTCTGCTGCAGCTCATTCCGCGCAAACCGCTCTGCACCACGCTGCACACCTCTCGGCCCCGCACCACCACCACCACCACCATCACCACCACTTTGGCTTTCACAGGCACTGGAAGCATCGAGAGGAGGAGGAGGAAGATGAGGTGTTGTCCCATGGGTTGCATATCCCAAGGCAATGGAAGGGGTTGGGTATTATTCCCACTGTCAAACGTGCTCGTGCCACTGGTGGTGCTGCTGCTGGTAGTGCTGCTGCTGCTGGTGGTGGTGGTGCTGCTGCTGCTCCTTCTGCTGCTGGGGCTGCTAACGCGTCTAGTGCTGTGGCTCCTTCTGGTGCTGGTGCTGTTGCTGCTGCAGGTGGGTCTAGGCTGACAGGATACGCCAGGGAGGATTATGCTTCCCTGATCGAGTATTGCCAGGCTAAGGGGGATAAGGGCGCACAGGATTGGCTGAGAGAAAACGTCATGCCATGTCATCAGAGGAAGAAGAGATATCTGTGGGGAAGGTGGGGAGGGAGGAGAGGGTGGAAGGGGAGGGATGAGGAGGGGGAGAATGGGGGTCACGGGGAAGGAGTGGGGAGGAGTGGCGTGAGGGAGAGAGGTGTGAGGGACAGTGGAGAGCGGTTAGAGGGAGTGCAGGAGGTGGAAAGCAAACCACAGCGGAAAAACGAGAGTGCTTATATGGGGGACTCTGCTATTGGGGGATTGAATATTGGGGCTTCCAAGCCCGGCCTCAAACCTAGCGGCAAACCTAGCCTCGGAAGGTCGATCTCCGACCTTTCCTTTGTGAGAGGCTCGGTAGGTTCAAGTGGTTTGGCAGCAGGAACAGCAGCGGCAACAACAGCAGCGGCAGCAGCAGCAGCGGCAGCAGCCGCCGCAGCAACAGAAGCCGGAGCAAGAGGAGGGGGAGGAGGAGCAGAGATCGTTGAAGAAAACGAATCAGGTGGAGGAGGGATGTCATATGAAACAGGTGGAGGGGCTGAGAGTAAGAAGTTACCACCAGATAACTTATTGGTAGGGTCCGCAGGGACAGAACCTACAGCGTCTCTAGCTACAGTGGCACCTGCTACAGTGTCACTCGCTACAGTGCCATCTGATACAGCATTATCTGCTACAGTGCCATCTGCCTCAGAATCACAGTCCCCTGTTGCACAGGCACCAAGCAGCAAGACTCTAGGAGCAGGAGGAGGAACAGGCGAATCCAGGCAAGGGAGTGTTGCCGGCCCAAACAGCAGCGGCAGCAGCAGCACCAACAGCAGCAGCATCAGCAGAAGCATCGGAAGCAGTGGCAGGAGTAGCAGCAGGAGTAGCAGCAGCAGCAGCAGGCGGCAGTGGGTGAAATCGGCTCATGAGGCGCAAGGGGTGTGGTGGGTTGTGTCAGGGGTGGCTGGGTTTGTTGTCTCCGCCAGCCAGCACGGGCACTGCCGCACCAAGATTGAACTCCTAGGGCAGCAAGATGGTGCTGCTGCTGCTGCTCCTTCTGGTGATAGTGCAAGCGAGCTTGCCCACTCCCACACCAAGATCGAACTCCCAGCGCAACAAGATGGTGCAGATGCTGCTGCTGCTGCTGCTGCTGCTGCTGCTGCTGCTGCTGCTGCTGCTGCTGCTGCTGCTGCTGCTGCTGCTGCTGCTGCTGCTGCTGCTGCTGCTGCTGCTGCTGCTGCTGCTGCTGCTGCTGCTGATAACGATGCTGCTGGTGCTGCTGCTGCTGCTGCTGCTGATAACGATGCTGCTGCTGCTGCTGCTCCTTCTGGTGATAGTGCAAGCGAGCACGCCCGTTCCCGCACCAAGCATGAGTTCCCAGGGCAGCAGAGTTTTGAGCCGCCAGCAGATGATGCTGTTGGCACTGCTGCTGCTGCTGGTGCTGATAACGATGCTGCTGGTGCTGCTGGTGCTGCTGCTGCTGCTGGTGCTGCTGGTGCTGGTGTTGGTGCGGGTGGTGGTGGTGCTGCTGCTGCTGCTGCTGCTGCTGCTCCTTCTGCTGCTCCTGCTTCTCCTCCTGCTCCTCCTGCCACCACCACTCATTCACGCGCTCTTCCTCCCCTCCCTCCTGCTATTGGTGGTGGTGGTGCTTCTGCTTCTGCTTCTGCTGCTGCTGCTGCTGCTGCTGCTGCTGCTGCTGCTGCTGCTGCTGGTGGTGCTGCTGGTGCTGGTGTTGGTGCGGGTGGTGGTGGTGCTGCTGCTGCTGCTGCTGCTGCTGCTCCTTCTGCTGCTCCTGCTTCTCCTCCTGCTCCTCCTGCCACCACCACTCATTCACGCGCTCTTCCTCCCCTCCCTCCTGCTACTGCCGCCCCTCCCTCCCTCCCAGCAGCACGCGCTAGCAGCAGCGACGCTGTTGGGAGGGCGGATAGTGATGGGAGCGGATGCAGAGGAAGCAATGAGGAAGCTTCTGTTGGATTGTCAGCTGATGCCGCATCTCCTGGTGATGCCGCCTCTGCTGATGCAAGCACTGGGGAGGGTGGCTGCAGGGAAGGCAGCAGCGCAACAAATTCACAGCAGCAGAATCACAAGGCAACACCAGAGAACCCCTCAGCAGCAGCATCGCCCCACAAGCTCCCTCCCTTGCATCACGGCCGCATGAAACGGTCCCTCTCTCTCCTCTCCCACCTCCCCCGCCGCAGCAGCAGCGCCAACGACGTTGCAGCCGCTGCGGCCGATTCTGACGGCGGTGGTAGCGGCGGCAGCAGTGGGGGTGGCTGGGGTGGTTTAGGAGGAGGAAGAGGCGATCAAAAGATTGGTGCTGCTGGTTCTGCTTCTGGTGGTGGTGCTGGTGCAAGGAGGAGTGCGAGTGGCGGTGCTGGTAACCGCATGCGAGGGGGTGTAACGCATGTCAGGAGCCGGCCGGCTTGGCTGGTGGAGCAGGAGCAGGAGTTCCCAGGGGAGGTGTATGTGCTGGGAAAGGTTGTGCATATAGTGAGGGAAGAGGTTCGACCTGCCACGTCAGCAGTGCGTGTAGCGAGCGAGGATAAGGGTGCCACGTCAGCAGTGCGGACAGTGAAGGATGATAAGGGTTCCACGTCAGCGGCTGGCCCGCCTGAGGCTGACGCGGCGTCGGTGAGGATCGATGTGGGGAATGGCAATGAGGGTGCGATCTGCATTGACATTATCGAAGCTGATTGTAACGGAGGAGTGCGACAAAATGGGAATGGATCGGCGAGAAGCAAGGATGATGGGTGTGAGGGGGTTGAGAGGGGTGAGGGGGGTGAGAGGGGTGAGAAGGATGAGAAAGGTGAGGGGGTCGAGAGGGTTGAGGGGAATGAGGGGGTTGAGAAGGATAGCACAGCCAGGGGTTCAAGCAATGGTGATCGAGAAGCGAGGGGTGTGGACGAAATGCAAGGCGTTATGCAAGGCGGAATGCAAGGTGGGTCACAGGAGGAGAGGGTGTTGGAGGCAGCAGCAGCTAAGCCAGGGTTGCTGGAGTCGTTTCGGTCGCTGGCAGGCAACCCCTTTGCCTCCTCACGCCACCGCGCGCGCTTCTTCCCCCGGGAGTCGCTGAGGGATCTTCTCGTCTCGCCCTCCATGTTCCTCGACCACCTACCTTGGAGGTACACCCTGCTTCTACGGTATTTTATCATTTCTTGAAGGTGAGCCGTCCTCTTTTTTTTATATATATATATATATATCACTATTTTTTATTCCCAGTGTTCCCTCCTCATTGTGTTTATAAATATGCAGGATGTCACACGCCTTCAAGGATCTCCTTCAAGACCATAAAGCTCCGGCATGATCTCTTGTACCAAACCCAGGTATCAATGTATGATATGTTCTGGACTGACCCAATTATATGCACCGTGATTACAGTGTACACTACGAAGGTGTCGAATCTTCCCCCAGTGACGCCGGAGTATCCTAGAACTGCTCATCCCATGACGCTGCGCCAGCTCAGCTCGGATTCGCCGCGTGGCAACCAATTTGCGGCTGCCATCGCACTTTTGGATTTTGCCCCACCCGTCGAGGATGCCGCATGCTTGCTATTTTCCTTGTTGAGCAGACACCATATTGAAACAAGTATTATCTCACTAAAACGAGCGTTACCGTGTTGAAACTCTTTGAACACCCCTCTACAACGGATTGTGTGCCATACTCCACCTCTCCAAAGAGACAAGACTACATCTTCATAGCTTGCGGCACGTAACTTCGGGTCTTGGTTTCCGAACCTCGGGATTCGATAGGAACTCATTAGCATAGTTGACACTTGCGCGACGCTCTTTCAGCCGTGCGAAGATACCTCGAGAACGTCGCGAACTCGGCTGTTACCAGATTATATTCGAGTTGCGTCTTCTGTGGTTTTCTCCGCTTTCGACGCATTCTGTAACCAACGCGTCTCCTAAATTACTCCTGTCAGCACATTCCCCAGCCATGGCTCCCAAGAAAGGCGATTCCGCCGGCGGGACGAGCGGCAAAGGAGGTAAAGCGGGGTCAGGCAAGCCGGCCGCCGCGGACCGGAAAAAGTTTTCCGTCAGCAGCATAGTGGTGGAGGAGAAAGGCAAAGGCGAAAAGAAACCGTCCGTCGCCTCTTCCGGCGGCGGCGGTGGCGGCGGCGGCGGGAAGAAATCGCGCGCTCCGCCGAGCAAGAAGCCGCAAGACGATTACCTCGCGGGCGTCGATCTCCCGCCGTCCGATGACGAGGAGGAAGAAATAATGGACGGCGCAGATGAAGGGGAGTTTGTTGAAGACGACGATATCGGCGGATCCAAGGCGGGGAGGGGACGCGGGCTTGTAACGGGGATGGGAAGCTTGCAGATGTCGGATAAGCAAGCGAAGAAGAAGAAGGAGAAGGAGCTTATGATTGAGCAAGCCCAGGAGGAGGCGCGGAAAGAGGCTTTAAAAGCGGACGACGCTAACGCGTTTTCCGTCACTCTCGGTTCCCGAGTCGCGGATATGGACCCTTCGGAAGACGCGGACGGCGCGGCGGGAACTGCGGCCGACGCGAACGTGCGCGATATTAAAGTGGAGAACTTTTCGGTCTCGGCGCGCGGGAAGGAACTATTCAGGAACGCGTCGCTAACTATTGTCCACGGAAGGCGGTACGGGTTAGTGGGTCCTAACGGCAAGGGTAAATCGACGGTGATGAAGCTGCTTGCGCGGCGGCAGCTGCCGGTGCCACGTGGCATTGACGTGCTCTTAGTGGAGCAGGAGGTAGTTGGGGACGAAAGATCCGCGTTAGAAGCTGTCGTGACTGCAGACTTGAAGCTGGTGAAGTTGCGTGAGGAAGAAGCGCGGTTACGAGCAATTTTGGATAAATATTCGCATGCGGAAGGGGAAGGGGAGAAGGGGACGGGAGGAGGCGGGGAAGGGGAGGAAAAGGAAAAGCAGGTAGAGAGTAGCGAGATGGCTGAAGAAACGGGGGAGAGTGGGACGACAGGGAAGGTGAAAGGGAAGGGGAGGAAGAAGGGTGCGCAAGCAGCAGCAGCAGCAGCTGCCGCCGCCGCCGCTGCAGCCGCGACGGCGGAGGAGGAGGAAGACGAGGCGAGCGCAAGCGAGAAGCTCGCGCACGTGTATGATGAGATGCGGGAGATCGGCGCGGAAGCGGCGGAGGCGCGCGCCTCGAAGATCCTCGCGGGGTTAGGGTTTACGAAGGAGATGCAGGCGCGGTCGACGAAATCCTTCTCCGGGGGGTGGCGCATGCGAATCTCGCTCGCGCGCGCGCTTTACGTGCAGCCGACGCTGCTGCTATTGGACGAGCCTACTAATCACTTGGATCTTAGAGCGGTCTTATGGCTGGAGGAGTATTTGATGAGGTGGAAGAAGACTTTAATCGTCGTGTCGCACGATCGCGACTTCCTTAACTCGGTCTGCACGGATATTATTCACCTCCACGATGAGAAGCTGTTCTTTTACAAGGTAAGAGCTCGGCTGTCTCCGTATCATTGTGGCTTTAACGCGGATATCTGAACTCTGTGTGCACGGATGTTATTCACCTGCACGACGAGAAGCTGTTTTTCTACAAGGCAAGAGAGTTAAAGCGGAGGCAGTTTCTGTGTAGGTGTTACGAGAGGTTGAGGAGATGTACGAGCAGAAGCAGCAGGAGTCCATGTCTTGGCCCCTTTCCCTTTCTTCCCTTACTTTCAGAGAATTGAGATGTACGAACAGAAAGTGGTCAGCGGGAGAGTCCGTTTGTGTTGCTCACGTGTTTCCCCCTTACCTCAGTCTGTCAATTCTCTTGTTTCTCTTGTCCCTCGTTCTCAAGCCCGAGGGGTTCACGGGAGGATGTACGAGCAGAAGTGGTGGGAGAAGTGACTATATCCAAATCGTCACATGTTTCTACATTCCTTTCTGTTTCCTCTCTCCTTCCCGCAGGGTAATTTTGAGGGGTTTGAGGAGATGTACGAGCAGAAGCGGCGGGAGAACAACAAGAAGTTTGAGGTGTACGAGAAACAGCTCAAAGCAGCAAAACGGTCCGGGAACAGGCAAAACCAGGATAAGGTGAGTGGTCGTAACCAGGTAAGTAGAGAATAGCCTGGTGCACGTGTACTGCCAATCAGATTTGGAATCAGAGAAGAACAAGTTTGTATGAGATCAGCTCAAGGCAGTGAAACGGTCCAGCAACAGGCAGAACCAGGATACGGAGAGTGTGGTAACCAGGTAGCTGCAAGGAAATAGGGAGCTTCAAGTGGTTTGAGGTGTATGAGAACCAATTTTTGAGTCGACTCAAAAATAGCTTCAAGTGGTTTGAGGTGTTTGAGAACCATCTCGAGGCGGCCAAGAGGCGAGCGCTTGAAACGAGGTACTTACTTCCATCAACTTAAAAGTCAACTCTACCCCATCATCTTACAATCACCCCACCTCAACCCTCGTTACAATCACCCCACTCCCCTCGTTACAATCACAGGTGAAGGATCGGGCCAAGTTTAATGCGCAGAAGGAGGCGAAGAAGGGCGGCAAGAAGAGCGCCAGCTCAGCAGGCGACGCAGACGACGACACGCCAGCAGAAGCCCCCAAGAGATGGCGAGACTACGCAGTCGAATTTCACTTCCCTGAACCCACCGAACCAACTCACCTCGCCGCTGCTAACGCTGCTGTAACTCCTTTCTAATCCCAATCCCACACACCCCCCCACCCACTCACAGGTCAAGGATCGGGCCAAGTTCAACGCGCAGAAGGAGGCGAAGAAGGGCGGCAAGAAGAGCGCCAGCTCAGCAGGCGACGCGGACGACGACACGCCAGCCGAAGCCCCCAAGCGGTGGCGAGACTACGCAGTCGAATTCCACTTCCCCGAACCCACGGAACTCACGCCGCCGCTGCTGCAGCTGAAAGAAGTCTCCTTCTCGTATCCCAACCGGCCGGATTTCGCGCTTTCGGAGGTCGATGTGGGGATAGACATGGGGACGCGGGTCGCGATCGTGGGACCGAACGGGGCGGGAAAGTCGACGTTGCTGAACTTGCTCGCGGGGGATTTGCAGCCGTCGCAGGGAGAGTCGAGGCAGAGTCAGAAGCTTCGGATCGGGCGGTATTCGCAACATTTTGTGGATCTGTTAGCGTTTGATGAGACCCCTGTGGAGTATTTGCTTCGGTTGTACCCGAACCAGGAGGGCCCGAGCCGGCAGGAGGCGGTTCGGAGCAGGCTCGGGAAGTTTGGGCTGCCGAGCCACAATCATCTGACGCCGATCGTGAAGCTGAGCGGAGGGCAGAAGGCTCGGGTGGTGTTTACGGCGATTAGCATGGCCCGGCCGCACATCTTGCTGCTGGATGAACCGACAAACCATCTGGATATGCAGGTATGGTGACTTGCCACTCACTCATGTTGCATGCCTGAACCTTGCTGCAAACACACTGGTACTCGTCCGGGTGGTGTTTACGGCGATTAGCATGGCCCGGCCACACATTCTGCTGCTGGATGAACCAACAAACCATCTGGATATGCAGGTGTGTGTTGGTGATTGGTGCACGTAGTTAGGTCATTGTGTTGAGTCAGCACGTAGGGTGTCACTGCGATTAGCATGGCCCGGCCGCACATTTTGCTGCTGGATGAACCAACAAATCACCTTGACATGCAGGTGTGTGTTGGTGTGATCACTCGTCATGCACTCTAGTATTTTACCGCACATACACTGGTACTGTCTGGGTGGAGTGCACTGCAATCAGCATGGCTCGGCCGCACATTCTGCTGCTGGATGGACCCACGAGCCACCTCGACATGCAGGTACGGTGGTATGCCAGTCACTCATCCTTCATTTCAGAATATTTTTGTAAACGCACTAGTACTTGCCTGAGTGGTGTTTACTGCGATCAGCATGGCTCGGCGGCACATTCTGCTGCTGGATGAAATGAACCAACCAACCACCTTGACATGCAGGTACGGTGACATGCAGGTACGGTGACATGCCACTCGTGGTGGTGAGTAGTGCAAGGGACCTACTAGGTCCATCTGTTGAGTCTGTTGGGGGCGTGGTCCCGGTGTGCCATTATTCCAAGCTTATCTTGTTCTACTGTTTCCCCCTGACCCGCCTGTTATACCCTGCACTGCACAGAGTATCGACGCGCTGGCAGATGCACTGGATGAGTTCACGGGAGGCGTGGTGCTGGTGTCTCACGATTCGCGCCTCATCTCCCCTGAATCTTGTCTTCGCTACCGCTCCGTT